AGCTCATAGGATAGAAGGATTAACATTTGTCACTAAACATTTGTCTCTTTATACAGGGGTGGAGAGAGAAGTTGGATAGGTTCAGTATGTGCACTGTGTTTCATTACCGTTACTTCTTGCACATTCCTGCATCTAGGTTTATATTTTCTTTGAATTTCGCAATGTATGAGGTTCAATCTATGTACAGCTTTCATTGTCATCATCACTATCATCATGCTATTCACTATTTGCATGTTCTTGCCCACATTGGCTAGTTATATTATCAATGTAACTAGCACATGTAAATATAAATGTTTAACTTCTGCCAGTTGCGGTAATGCTTTACATCAAAGAACAAAATACCATTTGTTTTTTAATATTGATATCATCCAAATAATCTTTATATTTTCATATAGCTATGAGATTTAGTACAAAGAAACACATTATTTCGGTCGCCTGAGGGTTAAGCGTTCTTTTATTTCGTTGAATAATTTTTGGCAAGAAACCGTCGGAAGCATTTGCTGAAAAAATATTGCGTATGAGCCTCAGCTCCATATTAGGTCACTGAAGTTGGACATTTTGCTTTCACCGCAAGGAAAGGAACATGGATGACCGCATAAAAATAAGCATAAAATGATAAGGCACAACTGCTGAAGATTGGTAGCAATTAATTGCCAATATCTTGCGAAACTACATCACTAATGTTAGGGCAAAGAAAATTTACAAAGCTAAAGTTTAACGTTGTCCTCACATAGCAAGTTAATGTTTGCAAAAAATACATACTTACAACCACAGTCCGTTTATGCGTACACTATTCCTAGCTCTTAGATAAAAAACACTCAACAACTAGCAACAAACAATTAGTGCAAAACAACACATTTTTCTGTCATATTCATATACTAGTATCATTAAAAATTAAAATGTGTAATATTATGTGAATTACGTGTACGACAATGAATCGATTCTTGTTCATTTGTCACATTTTGGTCAGCAGAATGAAGTCTAGATTTTTGCTGAATAAATGCTTTAATTTTGACTAATACATTTTGCTGAGTGTCTAAAGTATTATCAAGTGTCTGTGTCGTTGTTCAAAGCACGTCGTAAAATATGTTATTAAAAAAATCGAAGCTAAAGCTCAACATGCCACCATTTGTAGTTGAAGGGCTTTCTCAGTGTATTTGTCCCACAGTGCACCTCTCCCATCATGAGATGATAGGAGCTCCAGTCGTCGATGAAGTTACAACTCAGCCCCAGCGGTTCCAGAAGCGACTTCACGTACGACTCGAATGCGCATGCGCCGTCGACGATGGGCCCAAAGGGTTTTGGGATTCCAAGATGGCGGCCGAGCACAATCATGTTGACCATGTCAGGAAAGAACGCCCCTGTAGAAATACCATTAATGAATGAAGACCTTTATTGCACATTTCTGTCACACTTGGCTAACTACAGGTCACAACAAAACAAGATGAATGGACACGGTTAACTGATACAATATTAACTAACTATCGTTATACAAATTCAACTTCTCCTCGCTTTTCAGTTATTGTAGAAATAAAGGTAACATCTTGAACGTATTGTGGACTTGTAAAACCGATAAATGGTGGCATTTTTAGATTTTGAATCAATTTTTACTGTCTTGTAAACCGCCACGTACCGAGTGGGGAGGGCGACGAGTACGAGTAACGTATCTGTGTGGGGAGGACAACCGTATACTAGTATAGATATTGTAATCTAGGAATCATAGAACGACGTGTCGTTACACTAGTAACTTGGACAACAGATTTTCGTAGTGATATATTTGGAAGGTCTTTGTATAATTTGTAAGGGACTTGATTCACTTGAACATATATTTGGCGTCGCGTCTCGGGCGCCAACACTGATAGACGTATTTGCATATGAATAGTGTATAGCGTGGGAGGGCGATCCGCATCTGTATGTGAATATTTGGCCTAACATTCTGTATCTGTATCTGTATCTGTATAGCCGGTATAACCGCCCTTCGGCGTAACACACCAGCTTCGCAGGCACGCGGCGCGGCGGCAGCTGGCTAAATTACACCGATCGACTTGTTACACCTAACCCTTGAACTTCTAGCTCTAGACATTGTTTAAAGCTATCTATTGACAGTGCCCCTACTGTACTTGGTGACAGTGAGTTCCACTCTGCGATAGTTCTAGGAAAGAATGAATTCTTGAACACCTCAATCCTTGGTTGATAACTCTGGTACTTGAATGCGTGGCTATTTCTTGTTCTCTTCTGGGCTGGTATTAGGTGCTTAGTAGTTGGGACATCCACCAGTTTATTAGTCATTTTGTACATCATGCATAGTCTAGACATTTTTCTTCTGTCTTCAAGTGAGGTCCACTGTAGGTTTCTTTTCATTTCCGTGACACTAGCACCTCTTACATAGTTGTTCATACAGAATCTTGCAGCTTGATTCTGTACCCTTTCCAATTTGTCTTTGTCTTTCTTTGTATATGGATCCCATACTGTCGCAGCGTATTCTAGGTTCGGTCTTACAAGTGACGTGTATGCAAGTGATTTTACTCTCGTTGGACATGCCCACAAATTACGTTTAATCACTCCCAATGTCTGTTTCGCCTTAGTTGTGATATTATTAACATGTGCACCCCACTTCAGTCCGCTTGTCAGCGTGACGCCCAGATACGGATGGATTTTTGTGGTTGCTAAAGCCTGACCACAAAACTGGTAGCTAGTTGCATGTGGTGTTCGTTTGTTTGTTATGTGCATAATGTAGCATTTTTCGGGATTAAACTGCATGAGCCATTTGCTTTGCCATTCTTCCAGGGTGTTCAGGTCTTTTTGGAGAAGTTGTGAGTCGGTCTGTGTAGAAAGCTCTACATACAATAGACAGTCATCGGCAAATAACCTCACATTTGAGTCAAGCTGATCTGGTAGGTCATTTATATACAAGAGAAAGAGCAATGGCCCCAGGACGGTTCCTTGAGGGACCCCAGACGCTACTTTAACTGGAGCCGACGCCTTTCCTTCAACCACTACTGTTTGCTCCCTGTTGGTCAGGAAAGCCTTTAACCAATTCAGCGTAGGGCCTTGGATTCCATAATACTCCAGTTTTGAGATGAGCCTGCCATGGGGGACTTTATCAAAGGCTTTAGTGAAATCAAGTATTGCTAAATCTACCTGCCGTTTACTGTTTAGTGCGCCAGCTATGTCATGGACTGTTAGTATAAGCTGTGTTTCTGTGGATCGTTTGGCTCTGAATCCATGCTGGTAATCCGTTAATATACTGTAACTTTCTAGGTGCTTCATGATTTGGCTATGGATGATATGTTCAAGTAGTTTGCAGGATATGCAGGTCAGTGAAACAGGTCTGTACGTAGTTGCTGGGGACCGCTCTATCTCCTTTTTAACATTACTTGTGAAACACACTTGGTGATCAATAATTACAGATACAGTAGTTGGTACTGATATTTGTTGTTAGTCTTTGGTACGCACTGTATATTTTTGTGGCATTTGGTATAATTTGAGCATGTCGGCGACGCGTCCGACCGCCGTTTGGTAAACAAATTTACATATGTATTCAGAACCTAGCCGGGCTAATTAAATTAGGCAAGCACATCTGTAGTAATCTTGTACGGTAATCCCGCTAAGGAATAACAGGAGCGGTGACAGCTCTAGGGTCCCGCTAAGGAATTCCGGAATAACAGGAGCGGTGACAGAG